AGAGAGGGGAAAAGCTAGAATAAACACTGTGGTGTTAGAGTGGAAATGATATTATTAATGTAATCCCACAGTTTTCAGTAGATAGTGGACAGATCCAGAAAGTTAGGAAGTCTCAGAATGATGGGGGTGGGCTGAAGACACATAAGCCAGCTGAAAAAGGTTATTACTGGCCAAATCAGGGATGATTTGTGTATCAAATAATGATAGTACAAGATTATCACCCATGAGTCTACATAGATACAGATAAACATAGACAACGAATAAACTGAAAATTTGGTGAGGAATACAATTTTACAAAGTCTCAAAGTATCTCCACACAACTTACTGATTTATTATAGAGAGAAACAAAACCATTTCACAGTAGAGAGGAATGATGAAAAAACAACAAACAAAACAGAAACAAAAACCCCAAAAAACAAAATCTCTTCAACCAAAGTGATCAAGATTATAATAGGACAAATTAATATTTTGTGCCACTGATAGGATCCAAAAAGAAAACACTGCCATCACTTCTGTGATATTCCTGCCAAAGATACATAACTTGAATCTGATCACAAAGCATAGCAGACAAACCCTAATTGCAGATGTTCCACAAAATAACGGCCTGTAGTCCTCAAATGTCAAGATCATGGAAGTCAAGGAAGGATTAAGGAACTGTTTGCAAATTGAAAGAGACTAAAGAAACATGATAACTAATGCATTCAAATAGTTGGGGGGGGGGGTGGAATTCCTTGCTCTGTACTTGCAACTTTTCTGTAAGTATGGGCATTAAAAAATTAAAATAAATAAGTGTAATCTCAAAGCCAATAATGACAATAAAATATAGGAAAACTACAGGCTAATTCCCCTCATGACCAAAGACATAAAATTTAGAAATTTTTAGCAAATAAAAAAACTATCTTTTATATGTATCACTCACAAGAAGATTTGCAGGATGGTCAGATATCAGAAAAACCTATCAGTGTTGTTACACTAAACTGTATCAAAAAGTATACTGAACTTAGAGAGTAAAAATAAAAATGTAATCACATTAGCAGATTAATAAAGAGCATGATACAAATTTAAAAAGCTATGCATAAGTTTTTTAAACATCTTTAGGCAAGCTAGAAAGGGGGAATATAAAAACACAATTAAAGATATTTGTTGGGGAAAAAAATTAAAAGCAAACCTAGTTAATGTACAACTTTAAATATGATTCCCTTTAAAATCAGGAACAAGGAATCAGGAACATTCTTAAAGTCTACGTTGCCACTTCTTTTCAAAAACATATTGCAGTTCCATGGGGCATCTGGGTGGCTCAATTGGTTAAACATCCAACTTCCTTCCGCTCAGGTTGATCACTGACCTGAAGTTCAAGCCCTGCTTCAGGCTTTGCGCTTACAGCTCAGAGCCTGGGGCCTGCTTCAGATTCTGTGTCTCCCTCTCTCTGCCCCTCCCCCGACTTGCCCTGTCTCTCTAAAATAAAATAAAAACATTAAAAAAAATTTTTAAAAACATATTGCAGTTCCAGCCACTGCAAAAAAGACTAAAATAAAAGGCATAAGAAGTGGAAAAGGAGAAAAAAAACCCTTGTTATGATGCTATAGAATTATAATAGCATGGCATTGGCAAAGAGATAGCAAATAAATCAATTTGGTCCTAGACATAAATTTATTTATATGAGTTATGGCTTTATAATAAGAGAACATGTTATCAATCAGTGTGGAAAGGATAAACTATGAGAAATTGATGCTAGGCAATCTGTATAGGAAAAAATATGAAAACTATATCCATACCTCAAATCATGATACAAAAAAAGATTAAAAACATAAATGTGAGGTGACTGGGTGACTCTGTTGAGCCTCTGACTCCTGATTTCAGCCCAGGTCAGGATCTCACAGTTCATGAAATCAAGCCCCACAAAGGGCTCTGCACTGACACCACAGAGCCTGCTTACGATTCTCTCTCCTCTCTGCCTCTTCCTGACTCAGTGCGTGCACTCTATCTCTTGCTCAAAATAAATAAACTTAAAAAAAAATGTGTATGTAAGTCAAAAATTTTAACACTTATTAATTTTAACTTATTAATTTTAACACTTATCAGGATTAGGGAGACTTTTTTTTAAAGCACTACATTGATGATTTCGACACATTAAAATGAAATCATCTGCATGACAAAAGAAAAAATGAAACGTGACATGCTATTTGCACGATATGACAATGGAGTAATATACACAGAACATATAAAGAAATCTTACAAATCATTAAAAAACAGGTCTAACAGATAAAAAGCAAAATAATATGGCAAAAAAACCCCAAACAAAAGATACTTAACGTCACTAGTAAACAAGAGGTGCAAGTTAATAGTACAATAAACTATCACTACATACCCACTATACAGCTGGAAGGGACAAATTTTCATATGAAGTAGGAGGGTGGGTCAGTGAAAAAGAACTATAAAATGTTAGTGGATTGTAACTTAATACGAGTTCAAGAGCAATTTGGCAATGCCCCATGATTGCTCAATTTATTTCTGGCTAGAGAAACTCACATGTATAAGGAAGCACTATATACTGCAGGCAAATAGCAAAAAATTGGAAAGAACTGGTCTAACCATTAGGAAATGAGTAAACGGTTACTTTTTTTCCACATGAAAGAACAACTAAAATGAATAAATCAGATCTTTGTAGCTAAATGTCAAAAACAGGGTAAGTTGTAACACCAAGTTGCAAAAGGGTACAGTATGATACCCCATATATAAGTCATCGAAGCTTACAAAATACTACTATATATTGTTCATGTATATACACATACATGGTAAAAGTGTTAAATCATACAATGGAATGATACCCACAAACTTTAGACACCTCCGGGAAGGGTAGAACCTCTAAGGGCTTGATCTGGTCTGTAATGTTTTATATTTTACAATGGGGGTGTCTGGCTGACTCAGTTGGAAGCATTCAACTCTTGATCCCATGATAGAGAGTTTGAGCCCCATGTTGGCTGTAGAGATTGCTTAAAATAAATAAATAAACAAAAATTTCAAAAAATAAAATCTGAAACAAAACGGTAACTCATTAAAGGTAAATGGCTAACATCTCTATAGAAAAGTGTTGGGAGAAGATATCTGCCTCAGACATAACCGACAGTGGGTGCTGGGTAATGATAATTTTCACATACGGAGGAAAATGCCAGTGTTAAAACACTCCAGAGGGGGGGCGCCTGGGTGGCATAGTCGGTTAAGCGTCCGACTTCAGCCAGGTCACGATCTCGCGGTCCGTGAGTTCGAGCCCCGCGTCGGGCTCTGGGCTGATGGCTCAGAGCCTGGAGCCTGTTTCCGATTCTGTGTCTCCCTCTCTCTCTGCCCCTCCCCCGTTCATGCTCTGTCTCTCTCTGTCCCCAAAATAAATAAACGTTGAAAAAAAAAATTAAAAAAAAAAAAACAAAACAAAACAAAACAAAAAAACACTCCAGAGGGGAAAGCAGTCAGTGAGGTGAGGGACCAGTAAGCAGGATGCTTAGTCGCGAGGTAATTTATACACTGAAATAAAATGCAAACCAAGGAGAAATGCCTTCAAGCACCAATTATATTCTAACTGATGAAATAAATGCAAATTCCAATTTAACAGAATGAAAAAAAAACAAAAAAACAATTAGCCTATCACATTCTGTCATACCACTACAAACCCACCATAGACGCTTCTAGATGGCAGTCCAGTGTTGATCAAATCCACATTTTTTTGAACTGAAGTACTTATCTCATTTTGGGGTTAATTTGTAGTACCTTCCCCCCAAACAATTAAATTTACTCACTCACTGAATAATTATTTGTTGAATCTCTGAATATAAACAACATTTGCCAGAAGCTATGGAGGAATGAGAGGAGACTGAGCTCTTTTCTTCATATTCATTTAATACATAGAACTATAATATAGTTACTGTTTTTCTGATCTTACAGATAAATTGAAATTCAGAAAACTTAAAATCGACCCCAAGTCACCATGCTGACATAGTATGAGCCAGAATTCAAATTCCATTTGTCAGACAACCTCAAAACCCATATCCTTTCCACTAAAAAATTAGCTCTCAAGCCCAGGGGAGATCTTAGGTCTAACTGTCCTGTTTTACTTTATGTGGGCTATACTCACAATATACCATGAGTTATGTTTTCCCACGAAACCACACAATAGAATCAGGCTAGAAGAATATTGTCGTAACTTTTGAACCAGTAACTCCTATTCTATGATTTACAAGATGATGAAAGAAAACCTGAAAAAAAAAAAATTTAACTGCTCCAAACCAAGATTAAAATATTAGGGTGCCTGGGTGGCTCAGTCAGGTTAAGCCTCTGACTCTTGGTTTCGGGTCAGGTCATGATCTCAAGGTTCAGGAGTTCGAGCCCTGCCCTGGTCAGGCTCTGCGCTGACAGTGCAGAGACTAATTGGGATATTCTCTCTCTCTCTCTCTCTGCCTCACCCCTGCTCTCTCTCAAAATAAATAAATAAGCAACAAAAAACAAATTTAAAAAATTAAAGAACAAAGTTAACAACTAAAATCCTCCACACCGGGCATTGTGCCAAGAACTTGACATACACTTCCAATATCAAATTACCACATTACCACACATAACATGGGCATCGTGAGCTTGTTTTACAGGTGAGAAAACATCTGTATATAAGTAACATGCTCATATAGCTAGTTATGTGAAACCAGTATCTAAACCCAGGTAGTCAGATTCCCAAGTATGGTTAATCACTAACAGTTTTATCAACTTTTTTATATCCAGTAGGAAATGTATTTTAGATTGTGATGCAATATGCACATACACACACAAAAGTAAAGCAACTTCTACAAAACGCTTTTACCTTAATAATCTGTAGCAAGAAAAAAACCTGTTTTTAAGATGCTGGTTTTGAGTCAAGAAATTAATCTCATGAATCACGATTGAAAAATGCACAGTGCTTAACTGCTTCAAAGATACTGTATTTATTACAACTATAGCAGGAAAAAAAACCTAAATGGAACTAAATGGTTGGCCACAGAGGTAAGAATTATGAATATAAAAAATTGTTATTTGGAGAAAATACAATATGCACATTGCTTAGATGATGCGTAATGCTTATATACATAGAAAATATATAAATATATAATAGCTGTCTTAAGGTAAAAAAAGTATAAGCAATTACATTTTTATTTTTAATTTATAAAGGCTTTTATTTTAACTTACAAACTGGGTAGTTAAGACACCAGATAGTAGTCACTTTGCTTTTACTTTCTTGGCGCCAAAGCAATTGACCAATGTGTTCTTTCTTAAACACCTGTTCCAGATCATGGTGCAATGTTTTCCAATTACTTGCATAAAGCTAGCAAAATTTTTATGCCAAAATACACAGACAATAACACAAGTTAAAACAAAAAATCCTCTCCTAATATTTTTATAAGTGAAAAGCTGGAACCAAATAACTTACAATATTAAAAGAGAACATAAGTTTGCAAACACATCCTAAAGCCACACACATTTGAGTGTTACAGAAATATGCTCCCTCCCACCCCCCTACCCCATCACCCAGTGCCTTTGACACCTCCTCTGGAGCTCAAATCTCTCTCAGACTTCAAGAGGAGGGAGTGGGGCCACCTGTCTCAGGTCTGGCCCTGGCCTCCTCATCTGCCAAAGCCTCACAGTACTGTGCTGGCCAGTCCTTGGGATCTTGATTATGGACTTTGGCCACAAACTTAAGAACTTTCATCTTGCTGGTTTCCAGGTTGGTTCGGGGACCCCACTGGAATTCATAGTCTACAGGATCAGTGTGGGGTATCCGTCGGTACTCCAGGTAACGCTGTCGCACAAATTCTTCGGTAATAAGTTTCTTTGGGTCCCCAAAAACTAAATGCTTCTTTGTGGGGTACACCCCCAAGCGACGCAGGAAGTCCCAGACCTCCGTTTCCTTGATGGTATTGCCCTTCATAAAGATGAGACCTAAAACAATCATCAGGAGGCCGGTGGTGGGCGTGCCCTGATCGCCTCTCACCTCAGCATCCTCCTCCACCGGTTCCAGAGTGTTGATCAGGATGTACGTATTGCTTTTGGGTTCCAGTTCCACCAGCTTGTACCCGAAGACATACTCGAGGCGCTCGGCAGCCAGTTTAAGGAGATCAGGGAAGATGTCCTTGTAGTCCCCGATAACGTGCTTCACTATGTCAGTGCGCTTGATCGGGATCTTCTTCTGGTCCTTAATCAGCAAGAACTGCACTAGCTCGGCCACCTTCAGCTCCAGCTGCTGCTGGGACCTGGGCCCCACCTCGGGGGAGGCCTCGGCCCGGCGGCCACCCTGCGACGACGTGCCCCGGGCCTCCTGGGAGCCTCCCGCCCCGCGGGAGGTGCTCGGGGCCTCCTCCGCGGCGCCGCGGGCCCAGTCCCTCTCGCTCTCGGCCTGGGTGTTAGGGCGGCCCCGGTTCCTCGGTTTCTGCAACATGTCCCCAGCGGCGGGACCCGTAACGGGCGGCGGCAGAGGCGGCGGCGGGACAGCAGCACGCAGCGGGAATTGTGGGTCGGCGTACGGCACGTCTGGGCGACCTTGGGCGGGGCCGGGGGGGCGGGGCGCGTTGCATCACGGAGACTGCGCTTGCGTCGGCGGAGACTGCGTGTTGCGTCACAAGGGATGCGCGTTGCGTCAGGGGCGTTTGCCTTGCCGCTGCGCGTCGGCCGAAGAAAGCGGGTGGTGTCTGTGCTTCACCTCGAGTCACAGCAGTGGCTTTTGTTGTAATTAAAAGTGTTGTCCTTACCAAGCCCCCCAAATAGAGGACAGGAACCAAAACTCCTAAGCAAGTGTGCGGCTCGTTTTAGGACCACACGGACTCCGGCAAATACTGCAGAAGTATTACGAGTTTTAAAATCGCGAGTATTTTCAGATGGAGGGAACTCAAAGAACGAATGTGGGAGAAAAGTAAGGGGAGGAGGAAGGTAAGAGTGAAAGTGAAGTAAAAGCATTTCTCTCTACATACAGCGACGTTGAAAAAATAAAAGACCCAGATGACTCTTAATTTGCTTTGCCTTTGCCACCCCCACCCCCCTCGGTGCAGGTTCAAACCGGCCTAAACATTTACCACCAGTTACTTTTCTCTAATGCCCTGAAGAGTTTATTAAAAAACGAATGTTTGATAAAGACAGGCTTGCCTTGTAAACAGGACTCTTAACCATGTTTTTGCTATTGCAGTATTTATAATTATGCATTAAACTCCCCCTGCTAGACAACCAGGACAAACCAGCACATAAAGCACGTTACAATCAAGTGTTCTTGCTTATTTCTCTTGGAAAGCACTTGCTCACGTAAATTGCGTTGGGCCCACAACCACAATTTTAGCAGAAATGAGTAAGAATGCTACAAACAGAAATGTGCTCTCTCAAGAGATTCTCAGTTAATTTTGGGCATCACTGATCAAGAACTGCAATAATGCGAATCTCTTAAATTTCTTAATTTTTAATATATTAGCCTTAGGGCTCAAAGAAAAGAGAACCCAGGGGTATCATGTGCAACCCTAATAGCCAACATGAGTCATTTCATTAGCTCAAACCATCTGCAGTCTGCTGCCATTACTTCTACAGATCTTAGCAAATGTGTTCCTTTTCTATTTACTGACTTGCAGAGAAGAAACTGAATTTCCTGCTTTATCTTATTGAAAGCAGTGCCCAGAAAGTGGGAAAACTCTTCAAAGAACCAAATCAAACTGAGTTCCTCTTTAATGCAAATATATTCAATGGAAAGCAATTCAAAACACATTATTTGAATAATAGCATCAAAACACAACCTGATTAAAATTTCATTAAGTGTTAGTAACATAAAATTTTTGTTTGTAATTCAATATGAAAATGCAATCTGATAATGGCATTGGAACTGCAATACTAAATGTAAAATGATACTCCATGTTGTGATGCAAGTATGCTAAAATCTAGTGAGCTATGAGTAATAACTCTGTTCCACGCAAGATCTAACAATATATCCTCAAACATCTGTCTTAATGACAGAAGCCTACTAAGAAAAACAAATATATCATCAAGGCACTCATTTTTTTTTTTTTTTTTACAATGAGAAAATTCATCTCCATTTTCCTTACAAATTTGGGCTTCATGTTAAACCTCCTGCAATAAAAAATTCTGCAAAAGTCCCCTCCAATAGAATCAGCTGTAACGTGAATTAAAAAAAAAAAAGAGAGAGAAAGAAGGGAGGAAGAATCAGCAACCAACAGATAACAGAGAAGTGCAAAATGAGATGAAAGCCACTGTCAACAATTAGGCTGCATTTTCATTGTAAATCTGCAGTGTCCTTCAGCAGCATCTGTACTCAGCAGATTGTCATACTCAAAGTCAGAAAAGATTTCAGTTAAAACACCTCCCTACACTGTGTCCAGGAGAATGCACATGAGAAAAGACAGACATATAATAATACTAGAATGAAGTTTAGGTGTCACATGGAGAAGTCACCCAGACCCACACTCCATTTTAGATTGACATGGGAAGCCATGGATGTTTGAAGAAAAACTTGTGATGATAATGACACAAACATTAATAATAATACATACAAACAACAGCTAATGATTATTGCAAAGGGTCAGACTATTCTAAGTGGTGTACATATATTACTTCAGTCACTACAACAACCCTGTGAGGCCTGTGTGTTTATTATGTTTCTCTTCTCAAAAAGGAAGAAACAGGCACAGAGAAAATATTAACTGCCCTATAGAAAGTAAGTGGCGGTTCTGAATTAAGACAGTGCACCTTCAGAGACTCCCCTTAACCATATGTTAAAGCAGACAGAACATAAACATAGTGTCCTTAAAAAAGCAAAGTTATGGAGCCATATGGACCTAGATTAGGAACCTCTGTGATATCAAGGCAGCTACCGGCACTCCTTTCTGTTTCCAAATCAATGAAATGAGATTACTGTAGTCTCCCCTGATCCACGTAGAACACATTCCAAGACCCTCAAAGGATGCCTAAAACTGCAGATAGTACTGAATCTTATATATACTATGTTTTCTCCTATATATACATATATATACCTATGACAAAATTGATAAATTAGTCACAGTAGGAGATTGAAAGTAATAATAACAAAATAGCACAATTACAACAATATACTGTAATTAAAGTTATGTAAATGTAGTCTCCCTCAAAATGCCACCCTTCTGATATGGGATGATAAAATGCCTACGTGATAAGATGAAGTGAGGGGGATAACGCAGGCATCGTGATGTAGCATTAGGCTATTGACCTTCTGAGATTATGTCAGAAAGAGGATCATCTGCTTGCAGACCACAGTTGACCAAGAGTAACTGAAACAGTGGGAAGTGAAACCACAGATAAGGGGGGGGACTACTATAATAATCCAGGCATTAGGGAACTGATGAGAGGTTTGCCAAGTACCTCGCATAAGGTGGGACAGGGTAGTTGATAATAGATTGCTTCTTTCCAGAGGGTGTATGTTAAGGAAAGTGTCTGAGGACTTTACAAAGCTGTATATAGAAAGATGTTTACTGCAGTGAAACACAAGTACATACAAAAATCAGAAAAAAGTATGGAAAAAACATATTAAGGTGCTATTAAAATTATTTTAAAAATGAAATTAATGTTGATTGTGTTGCTTGGGAGATAAATGAGAAATACATTCTCAATGATTTTGACTTCATGGTGACACCATGCCGTAGCAGTTATACACATTCAAATTTTCAGCAAATTCAGTGTGACTTGAATACGACATTTATGACTTTTTGTTCAACCAGTGAAGTAATAAAGACAAGTGGTTTAAAAAGAAGAGCATTTTCAAATGGTTTATGGTAATGATCTTAATATTTTTATTACTAGACAAAAAAGTAAAAATTCTTTGAGGCAAAAATTAAGCGAGCTGAGATTTCAAATGCATTGAACAAAGAAATGCCTACTATCACTTGCTCTTTAGATGTCTGAGTAATTAATTGCTTTATTTCATCTCCTTGGTAGCAAAATGACTGCCAGCAATCTCTAATCATCTTTATTTACTAGGTTCTCCTCTTCATTCCCTGGTATTTCTTGCAGAAACAGACAAAGATTTAAAATTTTCTGCCAGCAACCTAGTGCAAAAAGCAGGTAAGGGCTTTTGGGGGAGAAAAGCAATGCATATGATGGCATGCAGCCATCATATATGAGCAGCTTCACTGCCTTTTTCCAGTGAAAGAAAGTGGGACCGTATGCAGTATGTGAGCAAAGGAGTTGGAGCGGGGGAGGCAGATACTATTTTGGTGAGTAGACAGGAGGAAAACGATCCCAGATATTTTAATGGTTGTAATAAAATCCCTTGTGTCCATTCATAACAAAGATCCATACGGGTTAAATCACACGGCAGGACTACATGAAAACACTTTATCTCTCCTGAAAGGATACTTTTAAGTGGCAAGAGAGCTTTCCTTGACTGGTGGAAGAGGCGGGGGTGGGGGGTGGGGGTGGAGAGGTGCAGTTTGATGAGATAGCTCTTTCCAAGCATTGCAGCCATTTGGCCCAGAAGCACCTTCTCAGACTCTTTTCAAGAAATATAAACCTTCCAGTTACCTGGAGCCTTTTACTTATGAAAATCATTAAGGTCTGTTAAGTTGTAAAATTGCAAATACACAAGGTCTCTCAGTGGTGGCCAAAAATTTTTTGTTTGCTTGTTTTTGCCACTTGTTCTGCATCTTTTCCTTTTAGGAACTGCTTCCCATCTCTAGGAGACCTTAGTAAGGCTCTACCTTTTTTTCCTGAGTGCACATGATTCAGGGCAGCCACAGAGACTGGTTCGGAAGTCTATTCAGCATCCTTTCAGAGGCTCACATAGGTTCTCTTTCCCTGAGCTAACAAGCTAAACAGTGATGGAAGCCTAGCCTCCTTTGCCTTTGCTCGGGCATAACCTGCTTCATGGTGAAGCCAGCTCAAAGGAGATCTAAGAGATGGAGAAATCCTAATGCTGCCAACTCCTGGATCCTGAGTTCAAGGTCAAACTAGGGATAACTACTTACTAAAGCAAGTTAGATGTCCTTTCGCTTTATCTGCTTCCAGTTGGTTCTCCTCACTTGGAACTGAAAAAATTCTGGCCAAGCAATATCCAAACCCAATGAAGAAGGACAAAAGAGGGTATTAGGGAATGAGACTTTGTTTCAAAAGGAGGGGGCTAGACAAAGTTAATATTACCTGTAAGGTTACTGAATGTAATCAGATGTTATCTGAATATAATTTGATATTTTTATTGTTTCTTGGCATATTCTGTGGTTGAGGAATGCACTTATGATTTTAATTGCTGGCAATAAGGCCAAAGTAAAAATCAGGAAAGACTGTTTTTCCATATAGAACGTACATGTGAGCTAATCTGGTGATTTACCTCTGCAGAAAGAAGTTTCAGATGACTTAGAACATATTTGAAAACATTTGCTATTCTAGAGTAGCTGTGTTCTATTTAACCCAAAGCATTTCCCTACAGGCCACACCGTTCAAGATGACAGAAGCCTCATTCTTTTCTTCTAGATTTCACTTTAGC